GGAGAGGGGGAGGGGGAGGGAGAAAGGAAGGAAGGATATTACTATTTTTTAAAATATGTCTTTATTGGTTTCAGAGAGAAGAAGGGAGAGAGAGATAGAAACGATGAGAGAGTCATTGATCGGCTGCCTCCTGCATGCCTCCCCCCCCCCACTGGGGATCAAGCCCATAACCAGGGCCTGTGCCCTCACTGGGAATCGAACCACGATCTCCTGCATCATAGGTGGATGCTCAACCACTGAGCCACACCAACCAGGAGGGATATTACTTTTTATGACCTGGCCTTAGAAGTCTTACAGTGTCAATTCAGTTTTGCTGCATTCTATTTATTCATGCCATTACAAAGTCTCATCCAGAGTTAAGAGGTAGGGAAACAGACCCTACCTCTCGAGGGGGAGAGACATGGTTCTTAAAAAGCATGTGAGACCAGAAATATTGCTGTGGCCATTTTTGTAAAATACAAGTTTGCTAGAAGTGTTTACATTGAAAGACCTCCTAAACACATTAAGAGGGTAAAATAAATGAGATGCATAAGTAAAATGTGATACTATTTATGGTTTTTAGAAAGTACAAGACAAATCCATATTTCCAAATGTTTATAAAGTCTTTAAAGATAAATATTTTTCAAACTGAGGCAGGATAGTAAAAAACTAGGGAAATTCCTTGACAAGTGGAATAAAGAAAACAGACAATTAAATAAGGCCCAATGATTTTGAGCAATTTACAGCGAGCTAATGAATTACAAGGTTTCATCTTCCCTAACCAAGGACACTTTAGAGCAAATGGTTTACATATTCTAAACCCTCCTAGAGCAGACCAACCTTGGTCCTGGTCCCTCTTCAATGACATTCTTTAAAAAATAAAACTAACCAGAAAATAACCCTGACCCCACTCTGTACACACATTTTGATGAATCAACGTATTGAAGGACACACCTGGGAAGCTAATAATATTCTGTCAATACCCTCCCCTGACACCTCCCCTAAAATCCCCTCCAGCTAGAGAAAGATAAAAAGTCTTAAGACAAATGACTCAAGGTACGCTCTAGGGAGAGAGCCTTGTATCTCTGCTCTTTTCTCTTAAACTCTAAGGGTCCCCATGAGATTTGTAATCAGGGCAGCAGCAGGCAGTGGCAGCCTGTCCAGGCTTACCTGCTGGATCTGTTTCCAAGACCTCCCTTTTCCCTGACTTTCCAGTGAACTAACAGCAGCCCCACCTAGGCTCACTTCTTTCCTAGTCTCTAGAAAACCAAAGCAGCTGTGCCTAGGCTCTCTCCTGTTGCTTCTTCTACCTTAAGCCCTTCCTTTGTTTCACTGTCCCTAGCTTTAGTAAACATACTCTTAAAATCATTTCGACTTGTGTTGTGAAATCTTTCCTGCGCGTCAAGATCCCACACATTTCCAGCTGACCCGAGACTGACTGGTCCTGGGTCCGTAACCCATCTACTAAAAAAAACATATGGTTTCTAAGTGTCACCTGGGTGTTCAGCCAAAGAAACAATCTGTTCAAGTCATACAGGAAAAACTGACCAAGATGGCCCCCACACAATTCCTTAAGACATGTTTAAGGGTAATTTTTACATTTTAGAAATGTCTAACTGTGGAATATAACCTTCTCACAAGAAAGATGTGACTCTATTGTACTGAATGACTGGTGGCAAGTCTTCATGTTCTTACCATATTGTAACTTGGCATTGAGGTTTCTTACACTGGGGGGATGACCTGATGTTGCAAAGTTATTTTCAGAAAGATGAGAGTTATGAAGACCTTCTTGAGGTCAGGGACTGAGTCTTCTTCACTTTGTATTTACATATCTAACACATAAAAGGGGGCTTGTTAAGTTTTTTGAGTGAATTACCCTAGTCTCTCATTCAGCAGTCCAGGATGTTTATAATTAAGCAAAGTAAATTATGGCCTCCTTACTAATAAGCTAATAAGAGTTCTGATATGTAAGATCCAGTGACTCCACTTTATATCCCACTATTAAAATCCCAATAATAATCTTCTGTCAGATGACATATCTAAGAAATCTGTACTTATACTTATGAAATCTTTGTTTTACTCATGTTTATGAGTGATATGCTGATATGATGGTAGCATTATTTTAGAAATAGAAATGAGATTAGGCCACTCATGATTTAGGTATATTTGCCTATTATGATACTGAAAAGACAACAATCTGTATGAGCAATGGCTTCATAAGAAATGGTCTCAGAACAGGTGAAGTGTAACCAGTGATATTCCTCTATCTGGATAATTGGT